ATGACGACACCATTCAACGGGCTCCAATGTAGGAACCTCGACACAACCCACAAAACTTCTCCCTCATCACAACTTTATCAACATTAATGACTCCGCGTTCGAGCAATTCTTCGCAATCCAAGTTTCTCACCATCAAATATAAGAACAAGAACGTTTTCTACAAAAGAGACATAGAGCTCCGACGTGTAACTGCTGCTTCAAACCCTCAAATGTTTTGCTATTTTTACGGAAGCTACGTTGGTACCACGACAGAGACGGATGACGCACGCTCGCAATATTAATGTGACTCACTCATGGCGTTCATATACGGCATACTACTACGGAATATTCCACCTGGCGAAATTCATTATTTCAAGACAAAACCTGCCGCGACATTGCAGCTTGGAAATACTTTACGAAACTGTACTAGCCCAAGAACTCTCTGTCATTGCCGATGCGTTAAGCATTTGAATCAGGTGAAGATGGGCTCACATCCAACTCGTATATCAATTGCTATCGAGGCAACCGTGATCAAATCATGAAACACTGGAGCACAATATCTAAAGATATTTTCGTGGCAATCATGCTCGAATGACTCGGGCCCTAGGGTTATATTGTAATAGCATTTATGAAGTATCAAGCTTCGGCCTCCAAGCTATGCAAATAGAGGACGAATACTTAGCGTCAAAAGCATTGTCGAAGACCGTTGCGGCATAAAGAATTCAAAAGGCAATGCGCGAGTTTTTTTCAAACCGTACTTGACTCGCATCTGGTTGCTGGGATCTAGATTAGCCTTAAAATGAATGTATCAATCCAGAGTACAAGGCTCCAGTTCGAAACTCGCGTGCACCATAACCAGCGCCTTAGTAGAAACTGTCCTGAATCTGTCCTGGGACACTTTCAGGACAGATTGAAGGTCACGAGTTCGAATCCCAGCGCCGACATTTTGTTGCTCATGGCAGCATTTCCTTCTAACACGCACCCTTGCTGTCACGAGCATGCTGGACCTGCGGAGAGTCACTCGACAACGGTAGTGAGCTAGACTACAGGGGTTGGCACAAACTACTAGGAGTGATCGTAGCTTTGCTTAGTTCCTTAGTGCTTGCGCATACACGGGAGAAATCAGCAAGAGTTTTACTAGACAAAGTTGGAATTACAGAATCGTTGAACAAGCAATGACAGAATTGACTACATTAGGCACCTAGCAACCCTGCAGCTAGCTTGGTCGACCACCAGCACAGCTTGGTCGACCGCCTGCCAGCGTTGCGTAGAGGAGCCGCGCCAGCACTGTGGAAAGGCGACCTGCCAACAGAGCAGGTCGACGGCGTGCCAACGTTGCAGCAGAGCGGCTATCCAGCGTTGCCCCGTAGAAGACAGCAGTGCGCACGCTCGCAGGTGCGCGCAGACGATTGGCCCGACTTGCACCGTTGTGCATCCGTCGGCTGTTGTCTGCGCCTGACAAGCCACATCGACTTTGGGATACCAGCCCGAAGTCGCCTTCGCCATCGCGACCTTGACGACGTTCGCGTGCCTCCGCAGAACTCGTCGAACAGGTTACCCGGGCGACCTGGTCGACCACCAAGTGCTCCGGTCGACCACCAGTGCCTCTGGTCGACCACTGGGTCCCTCTGGTCGACCACCAGGCCCTCTGGTCGACCACAGCTCCTGTCGAGCTACCCCCTGGTCGATGGACCCCTTCCGTCGACTAGAACTGGCAGATGATGTCGCCGAGCTCCCCTCGTCGACCGCTGCTCAGTTGTCAGGTCGACGGACTGCTCCGTCAACCTCCCGGTCGAACTGCAGGTCGACGGACTGCTCCGTCGACCTCCCGGTCGAACTGCACCTCCTCGTCGACGGGCCACCTGTCGCCCAGACCAGTCAGTTGCAGCTGTCGAGCTCCCTGGTCGACAGCAACATCACAGCGGTCCCCTGCAGCTCGACGAAGCCTGTCGAGCAGCTCTCCCACTGTGAACGGTCGGCTGCTACTCCCGTAGATCCGACCAAGTCGTCGGCGTTGCCCAAGTGAGGGCGGGGCCAACACTCCATTCCCATTAACAGGACCAGCCCTGCTGCTGCACAGCAACGATTGAAGGCTGCCTTGTCGAGCCGCTTCGTGAAGAAGTCTGCGGGCTGCGCCGTCGTGGGGATGTGCTGCAGCTCCAACTTCTTCATGCACACCATGTCTTCCAGCCACATGTGGCAACGGTCCACATGCTTCATGCGCCCCTGCAGCCCGCCCTCCTGGCTGAGCTGCACCGCGGACATGTTGTCAACGTACAGGGTGGTGGGAACACCCTTCTTGAGTAGTTGAAACTCCCACAGCAGAAACCTTAGCTTGCGCCCCTCCTTACCCGCTTCCACCGCAGCCACAAGCTTGCTCTCGGTGGAGGAAAGTTTGGTCGCACCCTGAAGCTTCTTGGCCTGCCAGGAGACGGCAGCTCCACCAAGCTTGAAGAGGTAGCCTCACGTGGACGACCTGTTCTCCTTGTCGCCCGCATCATCCGCATCCGCATACCCCACGAGGGTAAAGCTCTCTGGTCCTCCCTTGAACAGAAGCCCCATGTTCGGTGAGGCAGCCCAGTACGAGAGCGTACGGAAGACCTCATGCCAATGTGCATCCGTCCTTAGATGTGCACCTACTGCAAGGCGGCTGCACGCAAAAGAGAGGTCAGGACGGGTTGAGATGGCTGCAAACTGCACCATGCCGAGAATTGACAAATACTCGGTCATGGTTCGGTTGGTGAATTGCCCGGCATCCTGCTTGCCAAAGCTGGCAGAGGAGAGGGGAGTGATAGGCTGCTTCTTTGGTGGCGCCCCCTTGAAGAACCGCTACTGCACCTTCACCATATATGCTTTCTGGTGCAGGAGGAGTGTCCTGTTGGGGCGGACGCGCACAATCTGCAGCCCCAGGTAGCGTTCCACTGGCTCCACCGCACAGAGCTGAAACGCCTTGGCCAGCAGCTCCTTTAGATCCTGCAGCAGCTGCTTGTCTTCACTTTCCGCTAGCAGGTCATCCACGTAGATTAGCAGCCACACGCGCTTCCCACTCGCCCCATCCTTGTAGTATAGGGCCTGGTCCACACGGCTCTTTCTGTACCCCTCCACAAAAAGCACCTTGTCCAGCTCTTTGTACCACAGAAGGGGACTTTGCCTTAACCCGTAGAGGCTCTTCTGCAGGAGGCACACCTTGCTGCTACCGTCATTGAAGTAGGGCGGCTGCTGCATGTAGATCTCGTGGTCGATGGTGGCGTGAAGAAATGCATTCTTCACTTCAAGCTGTAGCAAATCCAGGTCCATGGCTGCTGCGACGGTGGTGTAACTGCCAACTGGAGGATAGGTGTCGTCGTAGTCGATGCCGAAGCGCTGGCTGAATCCCTTCCCACGAGCCTGAGCTTGTACTTCTCCACGGAACCGTCAGGTCGCAGCTTCTTCTTTAGCAGCCACTTGACGCCGGCAGTTTTGCGACCCTCGGGAAGTTCAGCCAACGTCCACGTGCCTTGCTCGTAAAGGCTCTCCATCTCGTCCTTCATAGCAGCCCACCACTCCTTGCCTTCAGGTCTGGTCAACGCTGCTGCCAGGTCGAGGATGACACCTCCCCAAGTGCCTTCCTCCACCTCATCCTCGTCCGGGTACTCCACTTCGTCATCGCTGTCCGTGTCGCAATCGTCATCAGCGGGGTATGCCATGTCGTACAGGTTCTCCTCCTCGTCCGCATCCTTGGCCGTCATGGCTGATGCGGGAAACCGTACGGGTGGCACCCCCTTGTTGGGCCTGCTGGAGCGATATGGGGGTGGTGGAGTGGGCTGGATAGGGGGGACTGCATGTGAAGGCTCATGCTTATGGGCCACCGATGGCTGCTCATCCACTGCTACCTCTCCTTCCTCACGATCAGCCGTGTAGCCTCCGTCCTCAAGGGGACCATCCTCTGGTCCCAAGGGTGCCGAATCAGCACTTGAGGAAGGACCGGGAGGTGGCGCAACTGTGGGTGCCTTGCTGCCCGTAGGGCCCACCGAGCAATCAAACGGTTGCTCGCCCCCTTGCATGGACAGCACCGGGACCACGATGACGGTACGTGGTGGCGGCAGATTCTGTTCGGGGTCGTGGGGCTCAGGAAAGAGAGATGGGACTGAAGCAAAGGGTGATGTGGGCTGGTCATTCCCGTCACCCACACGTGCACGCCACTTTTGCCACTGTTCAAGTGACATGTCCTCATAAAAACGTGCATCCCGGGTGATGACCATGCTCTTTGAATCAACATCCACCACAGGCCATCCCCTGCTTTCAATGCTCATGCCCAAGTGCATGCCCCAACGAGTCTTGTTTGCAAGCTTCCCCTCGCGCTCATGCTCAGGAATGAGGTATTGCACCATGCACCCAAACATACGGACCATTGACACAGACTTTGAACACCACCAAATGAAGGGTCACACCATGGGGCTGGGTGGACTGGTGCACACGGTTTACCACCCACAAGAACTGCTGGAAAGCGAAGTGCCACCAGTGTGATTTCACCCCCATGTGCCCCAACATCACACGCATGCCCTCAGTTACCGTACGGTTGCGGCGTTCAGCCACACCGTTCTGCTGGGGGGTCGAGGGGCAGGAAAGTTGACGCAAGATTCCTCGTTGCTTCAGCAGCAACAGAAACTCATTCGACATAAACTCCCCTCCCGGGTCTGACCGCAACACCTTCAACGTCATCACGGTTTGGCGTTCAGCTTCGGGAAGCCACTCATTGAAGGCAGCAAGCGCGTCGCTCTTCAGCTTCAACATCTTCACCCACGTGTAACGTGAGGCGTGGTCCACAAAGAGGATGTAGTACCTGCTTCCATCCATGGCTGGGGTCTGAAATGGACCGCACACGTCAGTATGGACCAGCCCAAGAACCTGACCCTCTCGCTCGTCATGCAGCGGAAAAGATTGGCGAGTGAGTTTGGCTTCGTGGCGGGAGGTGCACGGCATATCCTCACCTCCTTTCTCCAGGTCCATGCCTAACACGCCTCCGCTCGTGGCTGTCCGCTTCACCGCATCGAAGTGGACGTGTCCAAGGCGAGCGTGCCATAGGTTGGGCGTTGCCTTGGAGCCCACCGCGTACGTCTAAGGCTGGCCACTCCTTTCTTGACTTCCGGCTTGCCTAGTGCCACATCAGCAAGCACCTTAACCGTGCCGTTGCTTGCCGTTGCTGCCACCATGCCGCTGCATGCTGCCGCAGCCACCGTGCCGTTGCATGCCGCTGTAGCCGCCATTCCCTTGCATGCCTCTGCAGCCGCCGTGCCGTTGCATGTAGCTGCAGCCGTCGTTCCCTTGCGTGACTCTACAGCCGCCGTGCCATTGCATGTAGGTGCAGCCGCCGTGCCGTTGCATGCCACTGCAGCCGCCGTGCCGTTGCTTGCTGGCCATGGTTTCAGGTCAACGCAGAGAAGACGATGGCGGTAGCGTGCCGTTGCAACCACTTGTACTCCCAATGCAATGATGTGGGTGACACCTTCTTCGATTTGCACATTTGCTCCTTTGTCCGTGAGCTGCCCAGGGGAGACCAAGTTGGCCTTCATTCCTAGCACAAAGAGGACATCATGCGGGGTCACACGCAAGCCGTTAGTGCCCTCGAGCAAAACTTCACCAACACCGGCGACTTCTTGCATAGAACCATCAAACCCTTTGACAGATTTCGTTGCAGATGGGTCACGGATCACAGTGAACCACTCCTTGCGGCCGGTCATGTGTTAGGAGCATCCCGAGTCAAGGAACCACAATTCCTTGTCGTCGGCCAGCAACTTTGCAGCCAAACACGCGACGGTGAGCGCCACACCCTTTCCGTCTCCTTCAGCAACGTTCGCGACTGCCGCGGGCGTTGCATCCTTCTTCTTGTTGGGGCACTTGGCAGCCATGTGCCCCTCCTCGTTGCAGCTGTAACAACGCCCCTTGAAGGGGGCTCGCTTCTTTTCCCGCTTGCCATCCTTCTTCTTGTCCATCTGCTCTCTTCCTCCATTCCATTCCTTCCCGTTGACCCCTGGTGTAGCCACGATCGTGTTGACAACGCCCGAGAAAGCAGATGCATCGTTGGTGATCTGCTTGTAGCTTTGTTCGATGGAAAGAGTCTGCTCCTCCATCAACACCTCGCTGCACACACGTTCCACCGTCATGTCAGGGCTGGAAATGTCGAGCTTGCGGCGAAGTACTCCGGTGGCAGGCCCTTCAGCACGTGTGCAGCAAACGTGGCCATGTGGACCTCCTGTCCAATGGTCAACAACTCCGCTCGAATGGTGCGGGCCCTGTTGCAGTAGGATTCTGCCGTCTCATCATCTCCCTTCCTGGGCTGGGCTAACTGGGTCTGAAGTAGGGAGGCGTGGAGGGCATCATGAGTTTGATAGGTATACAAGATATATGCCCATGCCATCTGCCCGGCTTTCTCCTACTGAGAGAAGCCAGAGATAGACATTCGGATGGGTGGAGAGACACATCGATTCAGCACCATGAATGCAAGCATTTGGCCCTTCGCGTACTCCCTTCGTTGCATGGGGTTGTTTGGGGCCTGGCTTGGTGCTCTCCCGTTGCAAAACTGCCACAAATCAGCGCACTGGAGCTGAGGCCGGATGGCACTGACCCATGCGGTGAGGTCGTGCCTTCCCTCCAGCAGCGGTGTCACTGAGATATGTTTAACTCCAAACTTGAATTGACCGTAGCTCGTCCCGATCAATCCCGTGTCGATGGTCGGTACAACAGCTCCTCCGCCAATGCCCACGGCACCAGGAGCCTTGTGCTCAGCTCCTCCCCCAACAGATCCCCCTTGCTGGCCTCTCGCCAGTGGTTGCTCCGCCGCGCGCTCCCAAACCATGCGTAGTAGACGACCGTCCACAATGAGGTCGATCTCCTTATCGCGCAAGTAAGGGTGGTGCTCACGAACGGACGCCTCCAGCTCCTGACGGGCATTCAGGCCCTCGGCGCTCGTTAATCACTCCATCCGCGGTCAAAACAAGCGTCGGCCACTCCGACGCAGGAACGAAGTGAGGGGAGGACGCAATCAAGTCGTTAGTTGGATCGACGCAGAAAACGCAGCTCCCATGTAGAATTCCACTACTGTAGCAGTAAGCACGATTCCAACACACCAAAGATTGCAGGAAACGGTCAACTATAGCCAGAGTTATATAGAAACATAACAGTGATAATGACTTTGTTGATTTCTGGTTTGTGCTCTCTGGTTTTATACTAGGACGCAATACAAAATAAAAAGCACACAAGAAAGTGTCGACCCGGGTCGCACGTTGAATTTCGTCGACGGGAAATTCTGCACCTTCAATTTCGCCGGGCGAATTCCATTGACTAGAATTCCGTAAACGAAAATTTCCGCGACCAGAATTCCGTCGACCACCGACTGTAACTCTCGTGCGAATTTCGTTGACTTCGACACTTCGGTGCCGAGTTTCAAACCGAACGCGACCCGAGACCGATTTCGCGAAACTGTCCCCAAACTGTCCCAAACTATCCCCAATCTGTCCAGAAAGAGCACTTTTGGGACACTTGAATCGAAAGTTCTCCAGTTCGAAACTCGCGTGCACCATAACCAGCGCCATAGTAGAAACTGTCCTGAATCTGTCCTAGGACATTTTCAGGACAGATTGAAGGTCACGAGTTCGAATCCCAGCGCCGACATTTTGTTGCTCATGGCAGCATTTCCTTCTAACACCCAGGCCATGCAGCAGCCAGGGGGACAGCTGGGGGTGATTGCAGCGAACTAGGGCATGCAGCTGCCAGGGGGGCAGCCGGGGGTAACTACAGCAGGTCAGGGCATGCAACAGCCAGAAGGGCAGCCGAGGGTGACCGCAGCGCCCTAGAGAGTACAATAGCCAACGGCCTAGAAATCGCCTTCGTCGCTGAGCCCGCAGTATCCGACGACGAGGAAATCACTGTAGACTTTGTGTAATTTCGGGTAGGGATTGGTGCCCGAATCAAGTAGGGGAAATGGCTGGTGCGTCAGCGCGGCTTTGGGGCAGACTGTGCAGGTGTGCGGCTGCGATGTGCCTCTTATCTCGGAGTCTTCAGGGCGCAAGATTGCACCAGGTGCGAAGTATTCGGCAGCGATGCAGCTGTTCAGCGTTTGGCGCGAGTGGTGGCCGATGCGCTGGTGCCATAGATCATCTGGTGCGCGAAGTCCGGAGGTGCGGTGATAACGTGCGTGCACATTATCTGGGTCCTCTTCAGGTACGAGGGTAGGCTCCGCTTGCGATTCTTCTTGCTTCGTCGTTTGCCATTGTTAGCATCAGTGCGATAAGCTCTTTATCGGGGATGACAGAGAGTGGGATGTTCGTTCCGGGAATTGTGCCGGGGACGAGAGTGGGTTCGCGCGGCTCGGGATCGGCACCGTAAATAGTACGGTGTGGGGTCAACGGTTCATTGCTCCACTCGAATGTGTCCCAAGGTTCGCTTTACGGTGGGATATCCACGAGAAGTGGCGGTGGCGCGGAATCGCGCGGAGGGCGGTCGAGAGGAACAATTGGCGATTCGACGTCTTCCCCACTTCCCCTCCTTTGTTCTTCTTGGGACGTGCCCCAGCCTTCACCGGAGCCTCCCCATCCGCCGCCAGAGCCGCCAGTTCCGGTGCCCCAGTTTCCGCCTGCGGTTGCCCAGGTACCTTCGGTGTTGCCCCAGGTTCCGCCGCTGCTGGTTCCCCATTCGTCGTTGCTTCCCCAACCCCTTCATTGGAGGCTCTTTCTCCCCCGGCTTTGCCCCAAGCGCCGCAGGCGAAGGTAACGCGTGCCTCCGCTATGCTCTTGCGGCAGAGCTCCTCAGCTTCGCGGCGCGCCAGCTCTTCCTCTTCTTTGATGGGTCGCGTCAGTGGGGGTAGTACTGGAGAAATTTCTCCTTAGTGTAGGGGGCGCGGTTCACCGTGCTCGTTGTAGGATCCGCGTCTTTGCCCCCGACGGATCCACTAGAGGCGTTCGTTTGCAGAGCCGGCAAGCGGCTCTTCTAGCGTGCTGAAGATGCGGTGCGTCGCGCCCTCAAGCTCCAGCGTTGACATTCCCTCGTCCGACGGTGCGTATCGCTCAGCTTCGTCGATTGCGGCGAGCCCTCTGCTGGCAATGTTGGCATTCGTTGAGGCGGTGGGAGCATGGCAGTACCTGCAGAGGCCGTCGGCGTCGGGGTCGTGTAGTGCCGTTTCGCGCGGGTGCGGGTGATGAGACACCCCGGGTCTGCCGTCAGGGTGCTTCCATTCGGAACGATAAATATGCTTGAAGCGGAGCCTGACGAGATCTATTAGCTCGTCCATGTCGCCACTGCAGCCCGGGATGTCAAAATCCAAGAATATACACTGTTGTCGGCGTGTGCTCGCTTGAGGTACTTGCGTGGTTTGTCAGATGTGCCTAAAATGAAAGATAGAGTGCACATCCAGATTTCGGCAGAGCTGCTTCAAACGTTGATAGCGTTCTGGTTTCAGCTTCAAATGACATGCTTTAGATTAGATCTCGAGCGCCTTAACGTTAATCAAGCTGGATCTGGACATTAAGCAATTTGAATCACTCGATTTGATAAAGATTTTACGACGTGACAATAGTTTGAGTGAACGACGGTCTAGCAACAACTACAGTCTTAGAGCATAAACATGGAAGAAGTTACAAGTCGGGAATGACTCCCAGCCTCTACATACCCCAAGAGCCCAGGTCCAGGGAGGTGTAACAGTGCCACACTGTCCCCAACCTCGAAGGGTCTCAAAACTACCCACCATAAGGGCCTACACTAAGAGAAATGTTACACTACACAATGCAATGTAACTATTTCCACTATTTCACCGTTTTCCCTTTTGGCGAGAACTAAAATCACTTGATTCTTGAAACCAAGGCTCTGGGTCTTCACCATAAAATTTTCCTTGAGTTCCGGGAATTTTGCTGCAGACACCTGCGGCACGCCGAACGTTTGATACACGACAAATTAGAAAACACACACGACACGCAAATGACGACGTGACACGCGACTAGCGAAAACTCGCTATTGACTCGACACACATAATCGACGACATGACTCATCATTCACGCGATATTATAAGCATGAGATATATTTCATATCATGCTCTCATACCATTCCATGCAAACACATACGAACGCACAAGGACAGCAAGCCGAGAAAAAACCATGGGGTTGCACCAACACACTCCCCCTCGGATTCTTGGCCTTAGGATCTGCTCTTTTCAGTTCAGAGCCATGCCAGCCAGCTTGCAACACTTCCAATTCTGCTGTTCCACCAGCTTTTTGGTCAGCATGTCAGCTGGCTACGCCATCATCTTCACGAAGTGCAATTCTACTTCACCGCGGCCACTATGCTCCTCACCTAATGCCACTTGACCTTCATGTGCTTGGTGAGACCATGGAGTACCGGGTTCTTAGCTAGAGCAATGGCACCCTGGATGTCACAAAAGAGTGGGGTAGGTCCCTGCTGCTCCTCCCCAAGCTCAGCCAACAAACGCGGCTGCCACACAACTTTCCGAATGGCACCGAAGAGTGCCATGTACTCGGACTCCACCAAGCTCAAAGCTTGGTCAACCTCTTTCTTGCTCTCCCAAGCAGTTGGGCCTCGACCAACACAGCAAATGAAGCCTCCCACACTTGTTATGTCCTCTAGTTCCGATGCATAAGAGGCATCGGAGAATGCAGTGAGGAACAAACGCACGGGTTCGACACCATCCGCGTCCTTTTGGCGCCTTTGCGCCGCCGCCGATTATTGCAGCCCAACCGTCCGTCGCTGTTTGGAAACGATATTTAGCCACCCTCATTCCAGCTGCTACCTTCTCCTCATTAAGGCATTACACAACCCTAGCCAGCTGCCTGGTAGCAAATGCGGCGTCCGGTCGGGTGTGTACCGCCGCATACATGAGGCTTCCCACCAACGAGTGAAAATGGTGCCTCTCCTCTTCGCCAACGCTTTCCTCCTCTGGTCCCTTCACACACTTGAACCCAGAGAGAAAGGGTGTTGCCACATGGCCTTCACTCAGCCCAAAGTTGGCAGCCAATGCCTACAGGTACTTGCGTTGATGCACTCGCATCAACCGCTTCTCCTCATCGCGTTCAATGTGAAGCACAAGGTAGAAGTTGACGTCACCAAGGGCCTTGCACTTAAACTTGTCTTGAAGCTTCTGCATCACCTCCTTCACAAG